GTTTTTTTTTTTCATTCTAAAAAATTTTTTTAAAAAATTCTTTTAATTATACATTTCCATATTATGTTTTTACATATATGTATTAGCTTTGTGATTAGACCCGGATAGGTCCCACCCGGGTCACCCACAGGTGTGTGGGTAGATTTACTTATTTCTGCAAGTGATACAAATCACGTTTCAATAGTTTGCTGTTATTTCGCATGAAATTTTACCAGCGTTAGGGCTAGGGTTAAGGTTCGTCATAGTAAAATTTGTGTATTACTTGAATGTGCTAGGTTTGTGGCGCAGCAAAAACTCTTTAATGTTAGAGTTAGGGCTAGAGGTATGGGTTAGAAGAAGGTAGTTTATATAGTAAAATTGTTCAATGAAAACTTTTTCTTATATAGAATTTCAAGAAATAAACGATTTTTGACAAAACGGACATTTGTTTTGAATTTTCTTTAATGTGTTACGTTGCACCTGATCTTGAAATTTGATTTGTAGTTCAGTAAATCTGTGCCACAAACCTAGCACATATTCAAGGAATATTTTCTATTAGAACATAAAAGGTGATTTCTGAGAGTTACCGGATATATGTTTAGAAAATAGATAGATATGCGTAAAGTAGGTAAATATGATATTTATTACTAAAAAACCAAACTCATTAAAAAATCTACAAGATATAAACTAAAACTTTAATTTACAGTTGATAAATCCAAACAAACTACAAGAATCGACCAAATTTTAACATTAAACCCAGATCTAGTACTAAATATTTGTATCTATTCAAATTAAAAACAGTTAGTAATAAAAATTTGTTTAAATCTAATATAAAGTAATTTCAAAAAACATTTCTAGTTACCTTCATTTCGCAGTATAATTTCGCACAACCCAATAGGCTGTAGTGTATTTTTTATTTTAAGTGAAGTAAGGTGAAAAGATCGCTTAAAGCTAATAATAACTTCGATATGGTTTTGTTAGTTTAGCCTTGACAATGCATTCTCGGTTTACCTTTTTTCCATTTTACTAATTGCAAAATATAATAATACACATAGTAACTTTGCTTCTAAGTAAAGTCCTCTGTTTTTGGGATTATTTTGGGATTATATTGTATGAAAAAAAATTTCATAGATAAAATGGTGAAACATTGCAGTTCAAAAAAGTACTTTAAGCTATATAAATTAGTTATTTAGGCAATTAATTTACATCAACCGATCAGACGAAAGTCATTCAATGACTTGCAGAATAAGTATACGCAGGTAGGTAACCCTCCAGGAGGGACTGGGGATGGCTAAAGCCAGGTGTGTTTATATGTTGTCGATAATTTAATTAAAATTGGATAAGGGTTGGTTAGGGGTTAAGGTTAGCCAAGGGTTATATGTAGGGTTGGTGGCATGGGGCACAAGGCATTGGGGTTAGTGATGCAAATGGCTAGCTTTAGCTCAGCTACATCTCACTATAATGGAGCTGAGCTGTTTTTGAGCCAAGCCACATTTTAGCTAAGCTATTCTTTAGCCGAGCTGACAAGAGTCGAGGCTTCAATTTTATTATCGTTATCGTCGTAAAAAAAGTTTATTTCAATTATTTTAGTGTAAATACATGTACTGTATGTACAAATACCTCTGTAATTCATAATTTGCAAGCATGTAAAAACATAATATAGAAATGTATAATTAAAAGAATTTTTTAAAAAAATTTTTTAGAATGAAAAAAAAAAACTTTTAAAAAAACATTTTTTTAAAAGAAAAAAAAATTAAAAAAATTTTTTTTTTAAAAAAAATAATCAATCCCTTTGAAATCTAATGCTATGTTCCAACCATGAGCCAGTATATATTAGTGCTTGTATGCTTTTTTCAGAAAGACATACACGTTTAGTCTGAATAGTATCGCCTGCCTTTGAAAATATTTGTTCAGAAGGCACTGACGTAGCCTGGATTGCGAGAAAGTCTTTAGCTATTCGTGACATGCCCGGAAAATGAAAACTATTGAGTTTTCACCATTCCAAAGGATTAATGCTCATTGGTAAGGTAGCTTCACTTAAATATTGAGAAAGTTTATCTGTTGGGCTTAAACTACTTAAAATATTAGCTTGCCGTCATTTTTGAGCTACTTGTTCTATATATGTCATCGAATTCGACAATTTTTTAGTATTTGAAACCATATTAGCATTTAGTTTAGGCACCAAATAATCTTGAAAAATATGATTAAAAAAGTCACGGTTTTCAGAGGTGTTCATATTAACTGGCATTAATTCAAGTTTGATTCGAGAATCAAGAACTGAAGCTATAAAAGCTGCTTCATCATATATATAAACTATATATTGATTAAGTTTTTCCAACATTTGTGTTGCAGCGGTTTTAAGAAATAAAGGGCTTGAGGAATCTTGTATGCATGATGTAATAAC